GTCGACATACACGCCGACCACGACGAGGTCGTCGCCGTCGCGCTTCCAGTAGAAACACATGTCGCTCTCACACCGCGTGAAACCGGCAGTAGAGAGCTTCGAGTGCAGCAGCTGGCTCCACAGCCAGCCTGCCTGCTTGAGCCCGTAGTGGCTCTTCCGCAGCTCCAGCACCAGCTCGCTCGCGTTCGAAACGCCTTGCGCTCGTAGCGTCTCCTTCGAGACTGGCATGCCGCGCGGCATCTGTAGATAGATGCGCAGGTGCGGCTCCTTGTCCGCTTTAACGTAGGCGTTGGGGATGTCACCGTGCTTGGCAGGAACCCCTCCCACGTAGCCACAAGCGCCAGGATCACTTTGACCGTCGATAGGTCCATCACGGCAGCGAAGATGAGCGTGTAGTCGACGCCAAGCACCTGTTCGTTGCCACACGCCACCAGTCGCGCCTTCAGCCGCTCGAGGTCGCCATGCACATCTGTCTTGGTCTTGTAGACCCATTTGGTGTGCAGCTCATGCTGTCTTGCCGTTCGCCTTGTGATAGTCCAGACGTCGTTAACCTCGAGCGCGGCGATCTCCTCTTGCATCGCCATCTCCCACCCTTTGCGCTTGCCTCTGCGCATCGCCTGTCCATAGTTAAGCGGATCGTGCTCGAAAGCAGCTTTACGACTTCTCCGCTCGCGGCTGTCTCCTCCTGACGAGCAGCCGCTTCCGCGCGTTTCGACGCCCCGCGTGTTCCATGCGCCTCTCGCGTCCATCGCTTTCTGCTTTTACGCGTCTCCCTGTTGCTTTCTGCGCGACCATCGTTCGTCACTGCTGCTGCTGGCGCGTCCGTCTCCTCCTGGCCTCCGGCTCGATCGCCGACGTCCATTGCGCGCTGGAATTGCGCGTTTTGTGCCTCCGTCAATGTCTCGATATTCTTGAAGTGCTGCGTGACGACCACATTGTTGTCACGCGGTAGCAGCACTTTGTAGCCCTTGGTTTCCTCGCTGACGCCGACAGTGATGGCGCGCCCCGAGCGCTGCAGCAGCGAGTTCTTGCGCGGGTCTCTATACACGCTGCACTGGGAGCCAAAAACGACAATTCCACGCAGATCCGGCGTCTTACCCATCAGCACCTCGACTGGTGACGCTCTCTTTGCGTTTGCTCGCGTTGGGCTCCAGTTGAGGATGTGAACGGCGTATAATTCTGCGTCTCCCCAGAACATCAGGGGCAGCGCGCAGGCAAACATCATGCTGCGCGCAAGGTTCAGTACTGTCCGGTGCATTCGTTCCGCCTTGCCGTTTGAGGCCTAATTGCGCGCCTCCGACACTTGGCGCGCGACGCCCGTGCGCTCGCAGAACAGGTCCACTTTGGCGTATTCTCTGCCGCCGTCCGTGCGGAGCACGTGGACCTTGAACCCGAAAAGCTTCTTTAAGTGAACGAGGAAGGCCTCGAACTGTTTCGCCGCAGCGTCCTTCGTGCGCGCGAGGAAGACTCGGCAGTAGTTGCTCTTGTGATCAACGAAGTTCACAAGGTAGCGATTGCCGAGTCGGTCCCGCGGCGTCATTGGACCCTTCAGGTCCGAGCAGATGACGCCGCCGATGCGATCGATGGGATAGTGCTTGCCGCTGTCTTGTTGGGACTGCGCGTTGCGCGTCTGCTTGCCCTCGAGGCACGACACGCACGCCATACGTTTATTGTTGCTAAGCCGTATGCCTTATGCAGGATCGCGCGCCATGCGTTAGATCGTGTCGAACGCAAGGTGGCCGAGTCGCTGGTGCCAGTGCAACAGCGAGGCTTCGTGCGGCTAGTCGGCGTTGGTTTTCGTGGCATGCGCTTCGAGCTCCACCATGATCGCGTCACCGCCTGCACCCTCCTTGTCGCGCGTGGCCTCCGTCACGACATACAGCACGTTGCTGTCGATTGTGACATCGAACGCGACCGCACCATCTCTGCACCGAGCGAGCGAGCGCCTGTCGCCGGAGTGCACCAGGGCAAATCCTTTGTTCGCGAGCTTGCCGTTAGACACAATGTTCTTTGCCAAGTCGCGACGCCAATTTCACATCCGTGAGCGTCACCACCGCCTCAGCGCCGCGCGCGAGAACCTCGAGGCGCACGCTGCCGACACGCGTCAGGTGAAGCGACTCGCCGTCTGCCATTGCAATCTCGTGGCTGCAAGCCGTCGACTTGAGCAGCAGCGACTCGTCATTGACAAGATGCCGGCTCGAGCCGCTATCGAGGATCCAGTCTCCTCGGTTGACGGCCGTGGCATCGGTCGCCGCAAGTACGAGACCGCGCGTGCCATCCGTGGCTCGTACTCCGTCGCTCGTCGTAAGCACGAAGCCGCATGATTCGTCTATGGCTCGCGCTCCATCGCTTGCATTGGCCGCTGCGGCGTCCTTGCCTCGCGAGCCCTTATTCATCCTGTTGCGCTTCTTCGTGGTCGTCCTGCGCTTCTCGGTCAGTGCAAGAATCATGCTGGCACCACCCCCTGCGGGTGTCACGTCGTCGTGTACGACTCGCGCGCGACAGTCGATCGCGATGTGGCCTGGTCGACCACATCGGTTGCACGTGATCTCGCCCTTGGGTTTGTCTTCCACGTGCGCGGCGACAATTTCACGACCCACCGCGCTGCTGCCTTGCTCAATGGACTGCGCGAAGTGCTCCAGCTCCTCGGCATGGCGCAGGTAGTCGAGTCGCGTGTGTTCATACTTGGAGCGCATCACGTTCATCAGCTCCGGCGAAGCGTGGTGGACGATGTTATTAAGAACAAGCGAGTCAGCACCACCACGCGCCTCGCTGACGGAGACCATGTACAGGAAGTGCTCATCCCAGGTGCGTCGTGCGTCCTTCTTGGCCATAAATAACTTCATCGCCTGGCTTGCAGTGATTGACGTCTTGAACGTGCGCAGGAGTTGCTCCATGATGTACTGCAGTGTGGGTGACTGCGTCCACCAGGTGTCGACCTGCTTGTGATAGTATCTCTCAGCGTGCCGGCGAGAAAGTGCCCAAGCAGGTCGACCTTGACGTCTTCGGTCCATCCGAAACCACACGACGCTTCCGCGAGGCTCACCGCGCGCAGAAACGTACGCCCCCAGTCAAAGAATCCGCTCCCGAGTCCGCGGTACAGCTCCGTATTATCGAACTTGCGTATGTTTAACTTCCGCTGGCTTGCTGACGGCATCCCGTAGCCGTTGAGGCCCGGTCGCGCATAAGCTTGTGGCAGGTCGACTTGTTACGGCGGCGGTAGCGCTGTATACTCCTGCGGGGGTGGCGCAGACGCTGGTGCGCGCTGCTGCAGCTGCGGTTCTGCGCGCGCGAGGTGGCTCGAGCGATGTGAATCGCGACGCGCCAAGATCAGTCGCGCGCTGGTACCCACGCGGCACCGGTGCCTTCTCCTCCGCATCTCCGATCGCGTCAATCGTCATCGGTGGGCCGCGCATGTTGGCACCGAGTTTCTAGGCGAACAGTCCGCTCTCCACGGCCCCGAGCGTGCGCTCCTCCTCGTCTCGCAATCTCTGCGACGACTCGAGGCTCGCCAGTCGATCGGTTAGTGCGGCGAGCGCGGCGAGGATATTATCGTCTTGCGAGCGGGTCCATCGTTGACGATTACGGGTGCGGTAGGCGCACGCGCTGGCGAGCCGCGCCCAGGCGTGGCCCGTGGGACAACCCCTAGTGTCTTCGTAGTCGGTTCGGTGGTTGCGGCCATTGGGCTCATAACCTGTGGGCAAGATGCGTGTTGCGAGAAGGGAGCGTTAGGTGAAATTAAGATTCTGTTGTATTTCATTACTAGTTCTCTCTTCTTTGCCATGCTCGACAAAGCCCTCTGCTCCAGTCATCCATCTCACACGCATTCTGGCTCTCCTCGAATCACTATCCTGCTTGTCACTCTGAGCCCACCTTTTACGCACGGCGAGTTTGTGACATCATGTTTCTGTATAAACCCCAAGTCACCGGCCGAACACTCCGATCGCCGTTACGTACCCTTGCACCCATTTCAACATTCCAACGGTTTCAAATATGGCGCCTACGTCCTCGCCCACCGACGCCCATGGTTTTTGTAGTGCTGGGTGCAACCGAAAATTGGTGGATGAGCGAGACATCTCATGTAACGGGGCACCCTGAAGCTTGTACTGATGGCAGTACAAGCTACTTATTCTGACGACAGAATAAGGCGGTGCCTCGGAACTTCACGTACACTCGTACGTGCAGAGGAAGACGGTAAGAAGAAGCGGGTACTTGGTTAAAGTAAAAGGTAGAACTGTATTTAGTATAGTTAATGTCTGTTAATAAACCACTATTTATCCTTATCCAACTATGTCTGAATACAAATGTGCATATCAACTATCTGCTCACCACTCATTGCGTGCGTCTGTCGTGGCGCGTCTTCGTTGGTTGATATAATGGCCTATATCAACCAATTAGGAACTACTCGTAAGTGCTACAAAATATTTGTCCTTATGACAATATTCTGAAAATACAACTCTTATAGTTATATTCTATTAACAATTTATTAAAAAAGTTATGCAACGATTCACCCCGTTACATCTCAAGCTATTATCAGTCAGCACCATAATTTGCAAAACTTTTATTGATCACGGTGTTAGAGGCTTCTTTGTACAGTGCAATTCTGGGTTTAAACTAGGCAAACGAAGCCGGGTGAGTAGAGCCCACCCACGACCATGGTTTTTGGTCTGTGGGTGAGTGCAGTAGTAAGCTCCGATGTAGAACTCTGAGGCCCACCCCGTACTTTGGAATATTACAAGTCGTCGAACGAAACGGAATTATCGAACACATCCCTCCCACGCGCCAAAAAAGGCCGGAAAACGCTCTTCGAAGAACGTCGTCCGACGCACAAAGTCTCAGGGCGACACTCACGTACTTGCCGCCCAGTCACTCACTCGCTCCGCCTCTCCCTCTCGTTTGCAAGCACTACCCGACACCGTCGCGCGTTCGTCTCCAAGCCATTTCGCGCACGCATCCGCATCGTCAGAAGCGTCAGCCGCTTCATTCTCAGTGCAAGAGCGTCAGCTGCTGGTCATCCCACTCCCGCTACTGTCGCTCGCTCGCTCTCTCTCATTCGAATCTCGGTCTTTGTTGACTGCAGCCGTCGCACTCGCTTCGTCATCACGAAACCCATCGACTGGCCGATTATTGGCCGAAAGACCGATCGACGGACCACTTGAAAGCGACGGCGAGAGCGCGTGGCGACCAGCGGCCACCCCGGAGCGCACGTGCATTCAACCGCTTCCAGTCGTGGGCAGGCGGACTCTTGACTGGTTCTGCGAGAAGAAGACGGGACCGAGCTGCGACTGATCCAGTGCCGTGGCCATTAACGAGGGAGCCGCTGACTCTGGCGTTTCGTGGGTCCGAAGAGCACCGGAACAGTGCATCGAAGCTCTACGAGGCAGAGTTTGCCAGTAAAGGTGGGAGCCAAATTGAGGAAGTGGAAGCCAAACGAGCGCAGCACGTCATGCAGGAAGTCTCTGCCGAACTCCAGCAGCAGCTACAGGCGCTGGGCATTAATCCGTCCGACGACGTCTTTCGCACGGGCTCGGAAGAGTTTGATCACAATGGACTGAGCTCCCCGATTCCACAAGAAGTGCGCTTCATGAACGCTGAGCTGCGACGCTGCCCCGTGGAAGGCGTCGGGATGGTGCTTGCTGTCTTTTCCGGGTCCGGTGCAGTGTACGAATTCGTGCGCACGCTGCGAAAGTGTATCTTTGGAAAAGTCAAGCACGCGGTGCGTCTGCAGATGACGCCGAATGGATCGTTTGTGCGCACGCAGCACGAGGTCGCTATCAAGGTCATGAGCAAGGTGGGTTTTGTGGTGTCCATTGGGCTTGTCCGTATGATGGTTTAAGCTTTATTTGTGACGGCACATTCTGTCTATTTGGTATTTCAGGTAATCATAGAGGAGGGAAATCTTCAAGAGAACCCGCTTGTCGAACTTGCCGCGCAACAGCATCTGTCAGTACCTGGCCATGAAAATGTGCTTACGCTGGTGAGATACTTTGCGTCTGCATTTCGCGTACAAGTTTGCTCAGGAATTCTTTGTTTGGACGCATGATCTCACAATGATGCTTCTTTTGTATAGATCGAGTGCTTGCATGACGCTGACTTCATCTATGCGGTGCTTCCGTTTTGTAACGGTGGTGAATTGTTCTCGATAGTGGAGAGTGGTGGCGCTATGGAAGAAACGGAGTGTCGCCACTGGTTTACCCAAGTTCTGGCAGGCCTTTCTTACTTGCAAAGCCGCTACATATGCCATCGTGACATGTCCTTGGAAAATGTGCTGCTAGATGGCGATACTTCGAAGGTAAGCAAGTCTCGATTGAGCGCGAGTTGGGAATGTGAGTAAGTGACGAACGATTGCTCTTGATTGTGTTCTGTAGATTATCGACTTTGGCCTCACCATCGGTATTCCCGTCGATTCACATGGCATGACGTACTCACTGCCGCCTGCTGGCGCTGTCGGCAAGATCTTTTACATGCCCCCTGAGGTATGTCTGCTGCGGCATCGCATGTGGTTGCGTGTGTATTCTTACAAGTACGTTGCTTGTTCGGCTCAGATTTACCGTAATCAGGTCCCCTTTAACGGCTTCTCGGCCGATGTTTGGTCAACGGGCGTCATGCTTTTCATCATGGTAACGGGCGCACCACCTTTTGAGCGACCAGACGACGCAGACCCGCGATTCCAGATGATTGCGAAGGGTAACATGAATGAAATGTTAGATTCGTGGGGAATGGATCACGTTTCTGCGGGTGTGCGTGACTTGATGTCGAAAATGCTGGTTGTGGACGATCCGTCGCGGCGTCTGACTGTAGAGCAGATTGCCGTGCATCCGTGGATTCAGGGCGGATAGGATGAGAACTAAAGCGACGTAAGAATGAATGGTTGTCTTGAACGAAAACGATATGATAAGTTCGGGTATGTCAAGGCCTCGCTGCTGCGCTGTTTACTGAAGACTGCATGCATAACTTCTTGCATTACTCACGTTAAGGGTGCACACACATGCCCTGTCCGTAAACTTTGCAGCTCGTTCAGCCCCAATCGGATCGACAGTAGTAGAAGGCGCCGGGTGGAGCTGGATGCATCGATGGCGGGAGATCTTGCGTGACAGCGGGTGGTTCGTGGTAAAGTGCTGCTGCGAATGGCTGTATGGGCACTAGTAAAGTCGAGTCGGGGCGAGTCGTTTGTGGCGTTCCTGCAGAGATTCCTGACGTCGCATTGACTGCACGTCGTTCGTGATCTGGATTGACAGCAGTGCAATCGATGGATGAGTACGATCACCAGATAGTGCATGACCACTCAGTGCATCTACATACCTGCGAAACTGTCGTACCAGAGCTTGACGTTGGCCTTGTGGTTGCGTCCGCGGTTGTGGCGCTGCCGCGCTTCGTGCGAGTCTTCGAACGACTTGTTGCAGTACTCGCACACGAACCGTGACTTCCCCATCGACGCAAAACAAACGATGGGATGAGAAGAGAGACATCCTCTCTAAAGTACGACGGCCAGACCAGGAAAACTCGCCGCTGCATTTCGACTTTCTCTACCCCCCAGCTCTGCATACTACGAACCACTAAGTATATGCGCCTGACAGCGTGATACTTGGGAAGAAGTACGACGGCTCACTTGTCTACGCATCACATCACCCACACGTTGACAGAGATGTTAAAACCAGTCCACTCAACCTGCATTGCCAGCTTCGCTTCGTTCACCTGCTCATCAAGCCATGTCATGCCTTCCCGTAGCAGCATATTCAGTGCCAACATACTCCGCTTCTTATCCCACTGCAACTCTCGTGCCAAGATGCTGACATTGATCATCCCACCTGTCGCCTGTGCCAACGCTAAAACCGTAGAGTGGTCCTGACTCAACACTACAGGGACCGTCACAATCTGCCACAACAAACGATGCAGTAATAAAGTCAGCATTCTCAACCTCTTCACTTGTCCAAAGCAAAGCCAAGCAACACAACGACAGCCCGCATGCACAGCCAGCCAAAAAGGACCAACCATCGTCCTCTCTTCCATGTCAATGAGCTGGAACCCCTCCCCCAGCACACTCAGCTTCTTCACTGCTCTCTTCACGTCGTCGTCCGTGACCGTCTGCATCGCCTGCCCCCTCTTCTTCTTCAAGAGCCGCAGCAAGTCACTCATGCCCAAAAGTCCGCCGTTCTTCGGTCGAGTCAGAATCCCCACTTCAATGATCTGCACCGCCAGCTCGTAGTAAAAGTCGCCCACGTCCAGCAACTCGGACCAAAATCCCTTTTTCGACGCCAATGGATCGACGCCAATCTTGGCGCACATGACCTGAAACTTGCGTCGAAAATCCGGATCTTTCTTGATATTATCCTTGTACTTGACCGCAAACGCCTGCAGATTCGTCCGAAAGAGCTCCAGCTGCGACGACACGTGCGCCAAATTCGACTCTACGATCTGCTCTCCAACTTCCGAGAACTGCTTCGTCTGCTCCTGTTTCTTGCGCACGGCGCCGATACCGACACCCCGTCGCCGCATCTGCGATTACGGGTACTTCCAGTGATCGATCCGATCGCTGGGTTCTACTCAGATCTGAGGACAGTCGGTCATTGGTCGATCCTGGCTTGCGTCGTCGATGTCTTGGTTTTGACGAATCCGCGCCTGTTTCGTGGCCCCCGATCTCTCGCTTTCGGACCAATCACCGTATCGCGCCCCCTGCGATTTTCTCTTCCAAAAAAAGCGCTTCTGTTCATTTCGCGGTTTGCGGTCGTCTCCGAACGAACGAGTGACCGTCTGATTAACGTGCTCGACCAAGTGCCTTCACGCTTCCACCTCTAGCTGCCAATGTTTGTCTTTGACTGGTTCTACGACGTGCTGGGCTACCTCGGTGCGTAGCTGTTGTTGCTGCTTGATTCGACGCAGGGGCCACGCACGAGGAGTGGATCTTTTTGAATTATCCGTGGTTCTTAGGATCCTCCACGGAGTCCCTAAACCAGAATGGGTACAAGTTGCAAAACCGAATCCTCATCTTGTGCTACCTCTTTTTTACGTCTCGTGGACCAGGTCTGTACCACAAAAACGCCAAGATCCTGTTCTTAGGCCTGGACAATGCTGGCAAGACCACGCTGTTACACATGCTCAAGGACGATCGCGTTGCCGTGCACGAGCCGACACTTCACCCCAGTACGTCAGTCGATGTACCATCCAGTAGCTCCCATCGCGTGACTCTAATCGTTACGGTGCTCGATTTGTCCGATAGATTCCGAGGAGCTGATCATTGGTAAGTTGCGTCTGCGGACGTTCGACTTGGGCGGCCACGAGACGGCGCGTCGCCTCTGGCGAGATTACTTTGCCACAGTGGACGGCGTTGTGTTCGTCGTGGACGCACTGGATCGTGAGCGCTTTCCCGAGTCCAAGCGCGAGTTGGACACGTTGCTGGGCTACGACGAGCTGGCCAATGTGCCGTTCCTCGTGCTGGGCAACAAGATTGACGTGCCGCGCGCGGCGTCGGAAGAGGAATTGCGCTGTTCGCTCGGTCTCTACGAGACGTACGGCAAGGAGGCCAGCGGGGACAAGGACGCGAGTATTCGCCCCATTGAGCTGTACATGTGCTCGGTGGTGCGTCGGATGGGCTATGCTGACGGCTTCCGCTGGATGGCACAGTTCTTGTAGATGACACTTTTGACCATGGTGAGTGCATGGGTGGATTGCCTGAGCGCTAACAAGTGCGAGAGATGCATATTAGCAGAGGAGGCGACTAAAGGAGCATCAGGACGGGACAGCCAGTGGCAAACAAGCTTTTGCCACTCGACGTCTCTCGCGTGTGAAGCCATATCGTGTGTGTTTCGACGCTGGTTTAAAAAAAACGCACAATAATCGTTTTTACGTTACGACTACTGTTTTAACGATCTAATGATCACGTCGATGTTCCTGTGGACCACACGACTTTCGTCCATCCACCTACCTGCCTGTTCCAATGGCCATTTCCCGCGTCAAATGAGCAGCTCCATTGACGAACTTCCGCAAGAGGTGACCGCTGTCGGGACGCTGGGCGACGTGGGCGCGGCCTACGCCGTGTACGAGAAGAACTGGCGATGCGAAGACTGCACGCACGAGAACTACGCGCGTCGCAAGCGCTGTTTCCGCTGCCGTGCGCCCAAAGTTGAGCGTCCTGACGCGCTGGTTGTCGACAGTCTGGGCGATCGCCACACGTGGCGCGAGGCGCTGGACCCGACGTCCAACAAGATTTACTACT